TACGAAGGAAAATGTGCTTTGTGTTGTGAGAGATATGGGAATACCCACATATATGTAGGGGATCCCCATTATATATCAGCCTGTTATTCTTTGTTTATGCTTTCATCACTGAAGTTTTGTGGTTGAATGACCACATACTTTTTCAAAGCTTAAGGCGACCATCTGTTTTTTTTTTCTTCGACTTTTTTATTTTTCTTGCCAATTTTGATGAAACTCACACCCTTTTATTTAGACCCTCCCCTGATCCCTGGGGTTTATTTTTTTTTTTTTTTTTAAATCGGCCAAACAGATTTTGAATTATTGTCAAAAAACTGAAAAATTGCAAAGCTCTCGGTTTGAAAATTGACAAAACGGCATTAATTATTTAAAATTCATAAAAAAATACACATGCATTCTGATATGAGTTTTGAACAGATTCATCCTCGATCTAGTGCTTGTTCAAAGCAGTTTTTTTCGATTTTGACTTTTTTTGTGTGTGTGAATTTTTGAAGTGACCAACGGTCAGGATTGTTTTCATATTTTTTTTTTACACATTTCTCATTTTAACAAGAAGCACAGGCAAAAATTGCAAAATCCATCTCAAAGAAGCACTAGATTTATGATTCAGCTACAAAATGAGCCATAAAACATTTATTTTGGACTAAAATTGCGTGTGATACAGCTTTTGTGCCTTCAAAGGTGGTGTATCGAGATATGGTCATTTTTTGCTTTCTTCGTCTTTCCATGACTATCTTGGTCTCAATAAAGCAAGGTATAAGATTAGTCTTCCTACACCATAATCCTGCATTCCGAAGTCTTCCGGACATTGCCAGCACATAACAGTTTCTCAAAATCTTAAGTATAGTGTAGAGGGGTGACAGTGATCTGGGGGTGTATAGGCCTACATTGACCATTTTAAAAAGTTTCTCAAAAAAAAAAAAAAAAAAAAATCATAAAGCCATTCTGATTTCATGTCTGAATAGAATGATCCTTCTACTATAATATGCAGAAGCCACTGTGGAGAAGTTGACTTTGCTCTTTTTTGGGTGAATATTTTCCAAAGGTGACTGTCAAAACACCCTAATAGGAGATTTTGAAAATATATGTCACTTTTATAAGAAGCACATGAAAATATTGCAAATCCTTATTGCAGCATGTAATAGATCTATTATTCAGCTACTACAAAAATGAGCCATAATATGTTAAAATCGGATTGAAAATACGTGTGCTATGCGTAAAAATGTTAAGGACCTAATAATCGCGATCTTTTTCCTTTTCATTATTTATAGATTTTAAATAACAAATCATGTACGAAATGCTTGTATTTGATATAATTATCTATTATTTACCTATTATTGTTGCTCTAATGGGTTTTTACAATGTATAAAATTGGTCGAAAAAATAACCGTTCTCCAGTCGGACAGGAATCATACGCGTCCTTTTCTCAGTGCAGCCGGGCGTCGCAGTATTATGACATGTCTCTTTGCATCTGCAGAATACTGGTGTTTAACTCTATAGGGCCACGGGGCCAATTTTCACACTCAGACCCTGTGGAAAGATGAAATAGTATTACATGGTGATATAAAAGTATGTATATAAGGTATATAAGCACATATATATCATTTTCGTGTACCCCATGACCTTTTGTTTATTTATATTGTTACTTCCGTTTGTTTCTAAGTTTGTTTTTTGATTGTTTGTTTGCTTTTTTTGTTTGTGTTTTCTGATATTTCAAAAAGCTATGAACACATTTTAATAACGCTTATTGCACTTTGGTGATGATGCGGACCATGGTTTGAATCCAGGAGAGTACTACTTAAAGCCCAAGTCTACTTGGTGCTCACAGGTTTTAGCTCTATCTTGCTGAGCATGCCAAGGTGAATGTAGTGTTTGCCCCTGGCTAGTGCTCAGTTACGGCAACTTGGATTGTTGAATACGTAGGGAACTTAGTATCTGAGAGTGTGATCATGCAGCAAAGAATTGAGATTATTAGCTGTGTTTGCAACAAAAAGGCTCATTAGATGCCTTATCAGTACACAAGAATAGATCTGGAGATATGAATATTGCATATAAAGGCCTGATTATCCAGCACCAAAAATTTACCTTTATATTTTATACAAGAGGTCATGCCTCTGTAACCAGTGGGAATGCTGCTGCCACCAAACCCAAGTCCTGGAAGACCTTAGTAATTCTTTACAAGAGCAGTGTGCTCTCTCACACTTCTGTGTCAAAAGTTACATACATAAAAAAGTTTCCTAGATTTCTTAGCTTTGCGATTTCCATATTTTCTTTGTTTTTTATGTGGCAGCTGGTTGAAACTTTACCTATATAAGAATACAATATTCGGTATAACTATATCTAATAACTGCGCTAAGAAAGGGAAAATCTAAGGGCACTGTCATAAAGATAGGTAAAGAATACACTCACTAATATATGATTTGATCTGTGCAGGCAAAGAGTAACATCAGAAATTTAAAAAATAAGTTGTGACAAATGCCCAGCTGAAGCAGAGTCCCTGTCCGCAAAATGTGTCTATGCACTAAGTCGAAAAATCACTGAATTAGTATAAGTCCACGTGCAGCTTTCAAAGCAACTTCCCTCAGACTGCACATGTATGTCATGTGACATTACTGCCATTGAAGTCATGATAACTACTAGTATTTTATCTCTCTTAAGAATTACTAGATTAGATTTTTTTTTTTCTATTTGGATTGTATTATTCACTTTATACTATATTCTCATACACAATCTGCCCATAAACATTCATTTATATTATATTACTTAACGTATAATTTGGATTTTCATAACGAACTACCTTGATTACCACTTTTCACGACCGGCTCTTACTAGTGTCTGACATAGCTCTTGAGTGTTCACAACCCGCGTCATTCTTTCTACCGCGGGAGTAAGACATGGAACAGTGTTTCTGTCACTTGTGCGATTGCGGTTTGGGGGATTTTTTTTTAGAATTATAGATGTACTGCAGACATACATAACTTTTCATTATTTTAACTTGAAGTACAGTCAACGATCTTGACATGATAGTCCCAATGTGCACTATATCATAAAAAAAAATAAATTATAATCTATATAATGTAGTCAACACCATAAAAGTGAAAAATATGAGTGCACTCATATATTGTGGTTATTAGAAGCATAGGGGTACAATAACTGCAATTGTGGTATTATTGCAAGTGATTAACTTTTTATAAGCTTGTAACCTAATAATTATGAGTTTCATGAGACAAGCCCATAAGGAAGTGTCATCATGAAATATTTGCATATTTCTGAGATTTATTGAAAATCATCTAAATGATTTAAAAAAGGCAATAGTGGCTGAAGTTCAATTCTATGTGAAAATCAGTATCTCAGTATCAAGAAAATCTATTATGTCAAAAAAATCCATATTGAGTGAAGTTTGTTTGGGTTTTGGTCTGTCAGTAAAGTAGAAGATAGTGCAAAAAGCTCATTTGGAAATGCAAAAATTAACAAAAAGTACTAGTTTGATTAGGCCTTTAAAGTTGATCAGTTTTGAAATTCAAACACAAGCATCATGATTTTTTTTTTTTTTTAATTACTCTTATTATTATTTTATGTTATATTTTTTTGATAATAGAATAGATAATAGAACTTTCCTTTGCCTTAGGAAGCCACTGAGGCTCAGTTGAGCAAAAGATAAGTAAGAGAGCCTTATTAGTGTTTAAAAGTGCCCAGAAATGTCAAATAGTGCTGTCAGACAGCAGTGGCAAGTCCTTTTGGTAATCCAGGGAATTTGATATTCCCCCTGGAAATCAGGGCTAGAAAATGGATTGAACGATGTAAATAATTGTTGGAAAACTAGATATAGACTCGTTATAGTATTGAAAACTAAGCTTTTTAATATACACCTAGGTGACTAAGTCTTACTGAAGTGGTCTGTTTGTAAACAAAATTGACAAAGCAAAACTACAATGGAAAGTGCATATACCTGATGCCAATTAGTTACCAGGCAGTGTTCCTTCACTGACCTGTCCTTTTTGTTTGGTAGCCAAATTGAGTCGCTATGCTGCAAACACCCTTCACCTGTTTGTGTCTATCAATACTATTCAAGCTTTGTGTCCCTCCAGCTCTCAAATCTGAATGGACAGAGGTTAGGTTTTCAGATTTGTAATGTATTGGTTTTAATGGTGTGACCACTATAGAGTATAAACAATGCAATTGATGAAGTTAGTCCATGATACATAAATAAATCTCATAAAGAGACTAATGATCTGGTAATTTTATGATCATGAATGATACAGATAATTCAGTTTTGTTGATAAGGTTAGAAACATTGTTTATCATTCCATGTGCTGAGGTAGATATGAAAACCTATTTCTTTTGAAAGTTACTGTTAACTAAGCAAGTTACTATTTTATTCCTTATAATGTTATCAATTATGGTTACCAATTAAGGCAATATATGCAAGATTTTCTTAATATATTTTCATAAATGATCAGTTTTCAATGAACATTCAGCAGATAGCTGATGTAATTTCAGGTCATTCTCTGATGTACAGTCTTTCTGAGTTGCTCTTCCCCTCCCCTCAGAGTAGAAGAGAAGCACTTCATCACAATGTGGAAAGCTCAAGCTGGTCATCAGATTGTTATCGACAATGGTAACGATGATGACGATTGGGAGACTGATGCAGATTACGTCAACAACATGACAGAAGAGGAGCAAAGATATGGCACAAAACGGGACATCGGTGCTATTAAGTAAGTCTGTAGCTGTGGGGTGGTGCTATTCAGCATATGGTTTGTGGTTAAGGGGTTGCCTTCTGTTTTTTTGATTAGTCACATTTTATCATATCTACAAAAAATTACTTTCATTTTCTTAGATGTGAAAGTTCCAGTGTCTTGCTCATGCATCAGCATAAGAAATCATATATTTTATTATATATTTTTACAAATTTACATCAGTAAAAATGCTATCATATACTGATTGTAGTGAATTTTAGAAGAAATAAATGCTTTATGAATGTTTTTTTTTGTAGATGTATCACTCTGGGAGGAATGATGTAGTGATTATTGTAGGTTAGTTTGCCTAGTTCTCTAGTTCTTCATGTCCTTTGAGAGCTGGCTTGCTTATTGCAGAAAAGGGAGCAGCTATGTGAAAGCCTCCACTGCCAATTCATAGCCTCTCCATCACTGAGACTTTGTTTTTTGTCTGGATCACCCATGGAAACAAGTATTTTGTAATCCCAAGCTAAGCTTTAGAATAGGGTTGTCAAACTAAAAAACATTTATAGGCCACTTTTCATTTTTACTACCATCTTGAGGGCCAACACAATTAAAACCTACAGTACTTACAAGTATGTAAATTTGATTTTTTAAAATTTGATTTTAAATGATAACATCAATAGTAACAAAATATATCTAACATTAATTTCCATCATAGTGATCTTAACCTGTAGCTGATGGGTGGCATGTACGTACATGCCATGGCTGTTGTGGACCCAAACACAGATGGCATCTTATCATGCCCATTCCCGCGCCACTGGCTTGTCAGATGGAGTTTGTTTTTCTCCGATAGTAGCGGCTTCATTTTTATGGTAAACCCATTAACGTTGGTATATTTTGAAGCCGAAATAAAAGATTCCAGGCGGCTACAAAATTGCCGCGGCCCACTGCTGCGTCAGAGCATGAACCCCAATACAGCATCACACTGGCGAGACGCCCAGGAATGTTTATTTTTTCGGGTGTCTCATATGTGGGACACCTATCGTTAGTGGGTTAAGATTTTAGGCAATGGCACCTATAATGAAGGTAAACCTTCAAAATTATAATATTTTTATAAATTATAGCAAAATAAAAGCTTTTAGGTGTCAAATGTCACTCGCAAACTACCGATCAAGCTGAGCAAAAACGGGAAACTGCCGATGCGCGCCAACAATCATGTTCTTATATCCACTTGCCAAACATTTTTACCCGTCGGCACTGGGTTAATTTCCCAGGCTAATAAGTCTTCTTATATATCCTGTGGGGCACATGAGAGCATCCTGAGAGCCAGGTTTGGTCCACTGGCCATGAGTTTGACATCCCTGCTGTAGAGAATCTCAGATTGGTAGGACACCCAAAAAGTGCAGAGCTATAGACATGCCCTGACTCCTGTCCTTCATCCCCATGGAGTCCTTGCTAGGCAGCTTCTCCAGAAGACCTACTGGTACCACATCATCCATGGGAGGATGCTTTGGGGTCAATTCCCTTCCCACTTGGGAAACTAGGTGGGTTGCAGTTTTTCATGGGGAGGGCATCCACTGATCCTTGTGTAGGAAATATAATTATCTACCTATTTTAACTGGTTGCACCAAAACAATGATCACCGTGGGCTAGCCATAGCTCTAGTTGATAAGCGTATAGTGATGGTACTAAGACTGAAGCATTCCTTTGCTTTTATGACTTTCATTGCCATGGATGCTTTTACTAATATGAAAGAGATGTTCAATGCCAAATTAGCTTCAGTTGACTACAAGATACTTGTTGATCTCCATGGCTTGGGAACTGATACCAGTAGTGAGTCCAGCTTCATTATGTGGAACTGGGAAGGTCTCAAAGACTGAGGATTGTTGACTTCAAGTACCAGTGCTCTGACCCGTATTACTGGGCCTGGTACATTGAGGCAGGAAATGCAACCTAAGAGATTGACACATCCTTGTTAACAGTCACTGGGGGATCCTCTATAACTACAAGAATTTCTGGAATCATGAGTTCCTAAATGCCCAGTGAATGCCCTAGGGTGTTTCATGTAAGAGAGGAGGAATGGTTTTGGGGTTTGCTGTGGCTATCTAATTGAGAGATAGTGCTCAGTCTGTCGAATCCTGGTGCACTGTAGGGTACTTTAAAAGTGAAATATTGATTACCACTCAACTAATGGGTAGAACTTTATCTTGCGGGAAACACTGGAAGCCATGGATGTGTGTTGCATAGCTCGATTGGCTAGAGATTGAGGATTACATTATTTTCTGCGGAGGCAGTAATGTGATAAAAAAAAAGTTCAATTTCCTTGAAATAGTAAAAAATTGGTTATTGTATATATTTTCTTTTCCAGCATGAAGGAATATCGGGAGCAAGCTATCATTGCAGATGCTGAGATCAAGCGCAAGGAGTCTGAGCAAGGGCCAAAGGCATCCTATGGCTATGGGGGGAAGTTTGGTGTGCAGAAGGACAGGTCAGAAATAGTCTTTTTGTTGAATTTGTCATTTTTTTATTTCTTTTGATTAAGTGCTTGCTTACACTGAAAAATTCTGTATATTTACAGGCAGTACCTAGGATTATAGTGAACTCTAAGACTTGTTTTTAGCAGGCGATTTGTATTGTTTTTTTAGGATGGACAAAAGTGCAGAGACTCATGAATACATAGGAAAAGTGGAGAAGCATGCCAGCCAGAAGGATTACTCCACAGGCTTTGGAGGGAAATTTGGTGTTCAGAGTGATCGTAAGGACAGCTCTGCCGTTGGGTGGGACCACATTGAGAAGGTTGATAAGCATGAGAGCCAGAAAGGTAGGGGAGATAAACTAAACCACCTTATTTTTCTCGTATTGTGTGTGATTGATTGCTCAACACTAAGAGTTGTTTAAAAAAGTAGAATAACTTCTTAAGATTTGAGTACTTAATGGAGTGAATCCAGTTACTAAAGTTTGACTGACTACAAAAAGAAGTATATAGTAGATCCAGCTAGAGAAAGAATATCCCAGTCAATCTATTTCCTCCCATTTTTGCATCCGGCAAGACTATTCAAAGGGCTTTGGCGGAAAGTTTGGTGTGCAGAGTGATCGCCAAGATAAAACGGCAATGGGCTGGGATCATGTTGAAAATGTTGAGAAACATGGTTCGCAGAAGGGTAAGCCAGTTTGCAATGCCCTTTCAGATAGCTTGGGTCCTCTATCTGTGGTAGAAAAACTGACAGGGTTCCTCTCAGGGCTTGTGCAAAGAAAATGCTTAGTGAACAAAGCTCTTTTTAGTAGAGGATTAGTGCTCTAGTATATAAAGTATGTTTTGCTTAGTTAGACTGCAGTTTTCAGCTGTTGGAATATATATATATATATATATATATATATATATATATATATATATATATATATATATATATATATATATATATAATATATATATATATATACATATATATACATATACATATACATATATATATATAATATATAGATATAAATATAGATATAAACAAATATATGTATACATATATATGTATATATATGTGTGTGTGTGTGTGTGTGTGTGTGTGTGTGTGTGTGTGTGTGTGTGTGTGTGTGGTGTGAGGGAGTATGTGCATATATGTATGTATATTTGTATGCAGGTTTTTATGTTTGTATGTATATATGTATTATATTTATATTTATATGTGTGTATGCATGTATTTATGTATTATGTATATATTTATGTATATATTTATTTATATATATATATATATTATATATATATATATATATTATATTTATATACATATATACATATATACATATATAATATATTATATATAGATATATATATATTATATATATATTATATATATATATATAATAATTCAATATAATATGTTGTGTATCTTCTCTCTTCTCTCTCCTTTCATCTCTCTGATCTTTCATCTAAGTCTCTCTCTTCTCATTCTCTCTCTCTCATAATCTCTTCTCTCCATTATTCATCTCTTCGTTCACTCGCATTATTCTCATTCTCATCTTTAATATTAATAGGATAAATAATTACTAAGTATATATGTTTGATTAGTTAGTTATATATCAGTATAGTGTTGTAAGTAATTAGTATATATTAGATCAAATTATTAATATTATAGTATTTTAATATAGTTATATTGTTATTTTAATTAATGATTTAGTTTATATATAGTCATATATAATATTAGACATATATTAATATATATATATAATATATAATATATGTCGGTATATATATTATGATGTTATTATATTTATAGTTAGTAGATAGATATGGATTAGTTTAGATATATATGTTTAATATATATATAGTAATAGTGGTATATAATATATATATATAGTTTTATATATATGTGTAGTATATTAATGTATATATAGGTATGATAGATAGTTAATAGATAGATAGAATAGATTGAGGATAGAATAGGATATAGATATTTTTATAGGTATATAGATTATAGCATATTATATATTATGATATTTATATATATAGATATTTTATTATATATAGATATTTAATTATATAATATAATATATAATATTATATATTAGTATTATATAGTATTATATATAATATGTATTAGTTATGGATATATTGTAGATTAGTAGTATATATGCCATATATTATCATGAATGCTGTATGTTATATTTATATATATATGTATTGTTATATGTTAAGATTGTGTGTATATGTAGATGTATGGTTATGTAGAATATAAGATTATACAATATATATGTTTTTTCTATATATATATAATATAGTTATAAATATGTATGTTAATATTTATAAATGTATAATATATATATATAAAATATAATATCTATATTATAATAAATATATATAATATTATATTATATCATATTTAAATTAGAGTATGTATAAAATGTAATTTAAAATATATATTGAGATATTAATCGTTACATCTTATATTTATATATTATGTGTTGTGATTCTTACTTATGTATGTATTAAGTAGTGTCATAATATTGTTGGTCTTATATATATATATGCTACCATTTGGAAACTATATATATTTCTACATGTTATATTTATCTATAGTAATTTTTTTTCACTAAGTGTGGCTCCATAAATCTGGATATGGTATTTAATAGTCAGGACTATGTTTACAAAAAAGAACCATTTAGCGACAATCTTGTATTAGACATAACTCCCTATATTTCCAATGTTTTCCATTCACACACAATAGACATTGCTATATATATAATATATTATAATATAATTATATATTATATATTATTATATACTAATATTTAATACTCACCTCACTTTATACAGTCATAATTATATATTATGTTATATATATATATATATATAATGAATTATAGTATTTAATAATATATATAATTTTAATTTTATACATATATATATATATATAATAATATATATAATATATTATTATATATATATATATATATATATATATATTAATATAAATATATTATTATAATGTATATATTATATATATAATATATTACATATATTATATATATATATATATATATATATATATTATATATATATAATATATAATATTATATTATATATATATTTATAATATTATATAATATATATATACATATATATATATATATAATATATATTACTAAATATTATAAATATAGTATATTATATTATATATATATATATTATTATATAATATAATATATAATTATATATATATATATATATTATATATATATATATATATATATATATAATAATATATATACATATATATATATATATATGTAATATATATATATATATAATATATATATATATATATATATATTATATCATATATACATATATATACATATATATATATATATATATAGATATATATATTATATATTAATATATTATATATTATATACAATATATACCTATTTACTTATCACTAGGAATACATATATATATTATATAATTATAACAATAATTTTTAATATATGTGTAAATAATATTAATTATAATATGTATAAAACATTAAAATATATAACTTATGTAGTATTATTTAATTATTAGTATATTTATTCTAATATTAATTGTTATATATATAGAATAATATATCTATATGATACATATAATATATCATAGATATATATATATAAGTATATATATAATTGATTAATATGTAATTTATATATATTATTTATATATATATATATATAGTTATTTATATATAATATGAATATTTATATAATTAAAAATTTATTATTATATATTTTAAGATATATATTTTATATGTATATATTTATATATTATTTATTTTATTAGTATATACAATGATTATTATATATATATATATTAATATTAACGTATTAGTAAATCTTTAATATATATATATAAACTATTCTATATATATATATTTAATATAGTATCTAATATTATCTTTTTTATAAATAATATATAATTATTTACTATATATATATTTATAATATTATCATTTATCTATAAATATAATTTGAATAATATATATATCTAATTTATAATATATTATAGTTATTTAATTATTTAATTCTATTATTATATTTATATATTCATATTATGTAATATCTTATTAATAATATTTATATATATATGTATTTATATATATGATATTTATATATATATAATATTTATATATATATTTTATTATAATAATATATAATTAATATATATATTATTAATATATATTATTTTTTATATATATAGTATATTTATTAATTAATATATATTTTATCTATATATATGTACTTTATGATTATATACTATATATATATATATAATATAATTTAATTATTATAATTTTATATAGTATTTTAATATATATATATATACATTATAATATATATATTTATAAATATATTATTATATATTTATATGTATAATGTATATATAGTATTATATATTATAAATAAGCTATAAAGAATATCAATAATTATACAATATTATAATATATAATATTATATTAATATATATATATCTTTATTATATGTCTATCATATATATTAATTAATATTGTAATTTATACATATTATATATTATTATATTAAATAATATTTATTTTAATATATAATATTTTATATATAAATAATATAATATTATTTAATTTATATATATTATATATATTTATATTCTGATATAATAATATTTAAATATATATATCATTATTAATATTAATATTTATATTAATATATTATTAAAGTATAAATTTATATTCATATTATAGTATATATATATTTTATATTATTAGTAACTATATTATGAGATATATACTTCTGTATATTAAATATATATATATATATTATTTTATTATATAATATTTAATATATAATATATTTTATTAATATATTAATATATGATTTTATATTATATATATATCTATATTTATTTTTATATTAATATATTATATTTATATATAATATATATTATATATATAATAATTATATTATTATAATATTATAAATATTTAATCTTAATTATATGGTATTTAATTATATTAATTAATATTATTAATTTATATTTATATATATATTTTAAAATTTTAAATTTATTATATATAGATATAATTATATTTTATAATTATAATAATATATATATATTTATTAATATGTAAGTATGTATATTTATTGTATAATTAATTAATAATATTATCTATGTATAGTATTACATAGTATATAATGTTAATATTATAATATGTTATATATAGTTTTATTTATATTACCTATGTTTATATATATGTAGTATATGTTTATGTATATATTGTTTTTATTAATTATGTGATATTAATTATATAGTGTATATGT